AAAGGCTTTTCTCCGCCAAAGTTCTCAATTTCCAGTGATATTTGAAGAGCATTCTGTTTGACACAGGCATTTCTCAGTGAAATTATGACACCTTATAACATCATCTGATATTTTTTTTCTAAGATTGGAAAAGGAAAAGCAAAGACAAAAGGATCTCTTTGGAAAAATTTTCAAAACGGGGGTGAAAGACCTATTTGGGCTAATAGATAATGCCTCTTCTCTGTTTCTATTTTGTATTGTTTTTTATTTAAAAACAGTTCCTATGTTTTGGCATTTTCTCTTTATTTGTTTGCTTTTTCTGTGTTAAAAAAAGGTATGCTTAGGCCTTATCTAGAAGGCACACACATTTAAATATTAAAACATCTCCATACAAACATATTTGGAATAGGAGGAAAAAATCAGGACACTGTAAAAGAAGAAATGCTTTTATAAATTCAGTGTGGTCCTTAGGGTACTCAGGAAGCTAATTAAGAGCATCTCATTCCCTCTGTGGGTGATCACTTGAAATACAGAGCTTAGCAGAACAGGGTATAAGGAATATAAGGAGGAACTCTCATCAATGGTCCCCATTTTCTAAGAAGCACCCTTGTTGCCATTCAGGTGCCATGCTACACAAGTTCCTAAACTGAATGAAGCTCGGAATCTTCATGCTGGAATTTATAGTCATGTGGGACAATAAAATCATCCAGGTCACCCCTTCTCATTTCAGTGGTGGAAGACACCAAAACCTAAAGGAACTAAAGAAGTTGTACAGAGTCACACAAAACATTAGCAAGTAGAAATTAGACCTCAAACTTCCTTGACAATTATTTATTGCTCTAGGTGCCAAAGGAAATGATTCCCAGAAGACTTTATTTTCTTTTTTTGGAGGTCTCAGTACCATGCCATTCCACATTGGACATTTTCTGGACTGATAAACTGTATGGTAAAACAACAAATTCATACAAACTCACTTTGATTGGTTATTTCTTTCTTTGTGTAGTTTCTTGTTTGATTGTCTTCCTCATAAATTTAGCATGGTTCCAGTTCTAAGTAAAATCAAGTGATGTGTTTTAAATTGACTTCTGAGTACATGTACTGGAACCTGTGTTCTACGAAGACAGCATATCACCTGGGCTTTGGGAGACACAGAATGATTAGGTGCCATGTATCCTACAGAGAGAAGATGTGATTCAGATAGAAAATGAAGGATCTCACTGGCCGTAAAAGAAAGAAACAATATTACACAGTTAAAATCTTGCCAACAGGACCAAAGTACGGCTCTACAGTCTTTGTGGTCTGAGACACCTCTCGGTTCTATTCCTAAATTTCAAAATTGATTCTTCTATATTTAGTTCTTGGCAAGATTATCAGACAAGCCAATCTGTAGGATTGTTTGAATTCCGTATGTTTGGCATTTGAATTAAAGTAAGGATAAATTATAACATTGAAAGTTCTTTGATGCAAGAATTTGAAGGTCCTCGCCCCCTTTTCTTTTATTACTATTTGTCTTCATTGGCTCTGATGATGTATTTTCGACAATGTGGAGCTAATAAAGACAGTTATTAGTTCAATCTATACATTGGCCAGTTAGTTTCCTTTGATTTTATGGCCATTATTTGCAGGCCACACATCTCACCAACTTGTACTTTTTTTTTTTTTTTTTGGGTGGGGTCTTGCTGTGTCTCCCAGGCTGGAGTGCAGTGGCGTGATCTCGGCTCACTGCAAGCTCCGCCTCCCGGGTTCACGCCATTCTCCCGCCTCAGCCTCCCAAGTAGCTGAGACTACAGGCGCCCGCCACCACGCCCGGCTAGTTTTTTGTATTTTTAGTAGAGACGGGGTTTCACCATGTTAGCCAGGATAGTCTCGATCTCCTGACCTTGTGATCCACCCGCCTCGGCCTCCCAAAGTGCTGGGATTACAGGCTTGAGCCACCGCGCCCGGCCTAACTTGTACTTTTAATGGCAGTGGAGCTCAGATGACAGGATGCAAATAGTCAAATGAAAAGGAGTCACCACTGTTAGAGCTAGTTCCCACCAGTGGGATGCAAAGAGAGAAACATAACATAATGATAGAAACAGGCAATAGTGTTCCTCCTGCAGAAGAAAAAGGGAAAACCATAAAGAATTTGATAGTCCTACACATACTTAATAGATTAAAGGCCCTTAATGTTGTCAAGGGTCTGAAGTTCCATTGGGTCTATTTGATCTTGGATAATGGGTTCAGTATTTCTGTCTCTAAACTCCTTGGGACACCCTAGGAAACCTGGCATTTGAAGCAGTTAGCCATCCCCCTGAATCCAAACAGTTCTATTTAATAAATCCCTATTTCTGTCCAGTGTGCTGAGGAAAAGTCTGTTTGTTGGATGTAGTAATGAAATTGGAAATATGACTGGCTGTCTATTCCCTTCTGCAAGCCCCCTCAGGCTCTGGGTTGCCTAATGTCCGGGGTCTCCCCCTTAGACCACCCTCAGTGATTCTCACCTTCAGGTATTCATGCCCCTGTGTAATCCTCTTCCCTTGAGTGCAGATGGGACCAGTGACTTGCTTCTGAACGATAGAATACAGCAAAGATGATGAGATCACTGATGTAAGTTTGGTTTTTACTAGCAGATTCTCTCTCTCGCACTGATTTTAATAAAACAAGCTGCCGTGTTGTGTACTGCCCTATGGAGAGGCCCATGTGGCAAGCACCGAGGCAGCCTTTAGATTGACATCCAGCAAAGAACTGTGGCCCTTAGTTTGCCAGTCCACAAAACCCTGAAGGCTTCCAGCAACTGTGTAGGCTTTGGAAGGAATTCTTCCCCAGTTGAGCCTTCAGGTTAGACTTCAGGCCCAGCCCACATCTTGATTTCAGCCTTTGGAGATACCCTGATGCAAAGGACCCAGCTAAGCCATGCTTGGACTCCAGATACGTGGAATTTCTGAGATAACAGATATGTGTGATTTTATGCTGGTTTGTAGTAATTTGTTACATAGCAATGGATAACTTAGGCAAGTCTTGTTATCAGTTGTGAGCAAACGGGTAGCTACTTGTTTGAGCTATTTGCATGCTGCACTGGGCCCCTGCATAATCACTCTTCTTAGATGGACGCTGAAAAGCCAACTCAGGTCTCCATGACACTTTCTAAAGAGCAAGAAACTATATTCGAGTCCCTCTTCTGTCAGTTTTAGCTTTGTGTTTTGTGTTCCACCTTCAGTAACTGAACAGATTTGCCAATGGGGACAGGAGAATAGAGGAGCTTAGCTTCAGTGGTCTGAGACTAGAGGCAAGTTTTTCCTTGTAGACAGCAGAAGAGGGAGTTTTAATACCTTAATTGTGAAATTAATAAAATACCTTTTTCTTAAAACATTTCTCCTGTGACCATAGCAACTTTTATGATTTCTGCATGTTCGAGATACCCAAAACCTCCGCCAAAGAGCAGTGGAATGCATTTGGCATAAGATGGTTTATTTATAAATAAGGAACCAAGAACTTCGGCTTTCATAAAAATTTGGTAAAACCTCATCCTATTTGGAAATTGTAATAAAAATATCCACTTGGTTAGTCTCAAAAAATTTCCAGGAGAAAATGCAGTGAACTTTAATGCTGGGTGCTGTAGCCTCTTGGCTTCACACTGGCATTAGTTTGAAGCTTTCTAGCTCATACTTTTCAGTAAGAAGCTGAAATAGATTATAGGTTGTTTTTTCTATTGCTGAACTTTTTTTTCCCAATTGCTCTCCTGAGAGAAAATTTAGTGTATGACAGGAAGACAAGCATGAAACCTTTCATAATCCAGGCTTGTGTTCTCAGGAGATTGTCCTTGATATATGAGACTACTCATTGAGTCTTTCCTGGTGTTTGTTTATGTGACCACATTTCCCCATAATTAAATGCCTCCATTAATCAATACTGAGCTGCTCCACACTGAGTCTGCAGAGCTCATCAAGATGAGAACTTTTTAATTTTAAAATAAAAAAATTCCTGATATATACATAATCCCTGAATCTGTTACTGGCCAATGACATCAACAGTTGAGTTTTATTTTTGTTCCCTATTTCAGGATTACTAATAGGGTTGGAGTGAGAAGAAAAGCTTAGAAACTTATGAAAGAAGCTGGGGTTCTTCAGGAGTTTAAGGCAAAGGCACAATTTATTCTTTCTTCATCACCTCCTTCATTCAGTAAATAGTTGAGCTCCTACTGTGTCCCATAAATGGTGTGGTTGGCTCCTGGGCTGTCATGTGAATAAAACCATCCTCTTGGCAAGGAATTAACAATATAAGGGGATGAGATATACAGTAAATGACAAATAAAATGGAGCTTGATAGAAGTTACAATACCAACCCCATATATAAGGAAAGACTTTCTGTTATGAAAATAAATGACAGCAAAACAAAAGAATCTCCTATCATCTGACTGTGAAACTTGAACTAGCACTTTTTAGCTCACACAGAATTCATGTTCTGTATCAGCTTTGCTGGAAGAAGTGCATGTAGTCTTAGGGGATAAAACAGAGGTCCATGGGATGAGGAGAAAAGGTCTGAAGCACTCTTCTTGACTGTCAGAATGTCATTATTTATGCCACTATTTCTTTTTCAATCTGTTTAGTTTAATATTTGCTTTATTCTCCAAATAAAGTGAATTTTAAATAGTGGGCAGAACATGCATTTAAAAATATCATTAATTCAATTAATATTTATTGAGCACCTATCATGCACTGGCACTTAGAATTTAAGAAGAAGATTGGTACTGTCTTGTAGTTGGGAGATAGTTAATTCTTAAAAACAATGATGAACACTTATCTTTCTATATATTTACATAAGTAATTCTAAATATGTGGCTTCTAGGTATGATAGTTTTTTAATGTGTCAACTTAGGCTAAACTATGAGGATGAAAGACAGGACAGCAGCCTTTTGGTAGCATACACACCTTCTTCTAGTGACCCAACCAAACGTGAATTCAGGGGCTGCTGTGGTGGGATTTTGCAGGTGTAATTAAAATCCCGAGTGATTTAACTTTAAATTATTGTGATTATTCTAGGTAGGCCAGACCTTTCCAGATGAGCCCTTAAGAGGGTCTGAATTATTCAAGGCGAAAGAGTTCCCCAGAGCAGCTGAGTCTACAATTACCCTCTTTTTGCTGGATCTGCTCTTCCTAACTGCCTGCCCTACAGATTCCTAGATTCCTTGTAATCTGTGTGTGTATGTGTGTCTGTCTCTCTCTCTCTATATGTGTGTGTGTATAGATATCTATACATATATATATGTATACACATGTATATACACACGTGTATATATACATACACACGTGTATATATACATACACATATATGTACACACATATATATACACGTATATGTATATATACACACACACACATATATATATATGTCCTCCTGATTCTGTTTCTGTGGTTGCATCCTGACTGATGCACTGAAATTTGAAAATGATACTGTGACCTCATTTAATATGTATTTTATGCTCCGAATGACTATCATTGCTTATGAAACTGGGAAAACATTGTACATAAATCTATGCAAAAATAACCCAAATATATTTCATGAAGTCTGGTTGGCCCCCAATTCATTGGCTTTGCCTAACGTCTTTGGTTAAACTGTGAAAGGCATCTGGCCACCGGGTGAATTGCCATGTGATTCCGTCACCACCGTGCGTGCTTGCAGCTTGTTCTGGCTCTGTTCGGGAACGGTGGTCTTTCCAGCTGGCTGGATGGGAAAGCAGCATGTGCCAAGCTCTGCTGGAACGTTTTGAAACAACATTGCATATAACGTAATTAAGTAGGGATGACTGAAGACTTAATGCCTTCACTGACTAGAGTCAAGTCTAAGCTGAACCCAGAAACTTTATCTTCTTTGTATTTTTAAAGGAAGGAAGATAAGATGTATGAAAAACTGGACTTTGTTGCAATCCTTTTGATACCATCAAAATGTAGACAATTCTTCAAAGTTATTTGATTCTATTTTTATAACTGTCCATATTATTGATTGTAAAGGAAGTATATACTAAAAAAATCAAAAAGATAAAGTATAAGGATTAAAAGCCACCATAATTCTACCAGAGGTGACCATGGTTGTGACCTTAGTTCTGCAGTCTTTTTTTTTTTTTTTTGTGACAGAGTCTTGCACTGTCGCCGGGCTGGGATGCAGTGGCATGATCTTGGTTCACTGCAACCTCCGCCTCCCAGGTTCAAGTAATTCTCCGGCCTCACCTCCTGAGTAGCTGGGATTACAGGTGCCGCCACCACACCTGGCTAATTTTTTGTATTTTTAGTAGAAATTTGCTTTTCCCTGGTGACTGATGATGTCAGGCATCTCTACCTGTGCTTATGTGTCATTTATATACCATTTTTGGTAAAGTGTCTGTAAAATGTTTTGCTCATTTTTAATAGAGCTGTTTATTTTCTGTCTGAATTTTAATAGTTGTTACATTTTGCATACAAGACTTTTATTATGTGTTTTGTAAATATTTTCTCCCATCCTGCAGCTTAAGTTTTTGTTTTCTTAATAAGAATATTTATAAATAAAAATAATATTGTCTTTAAAGAGTAAAATTTAAAAATATTTGACCTAGAGTGAGTGTGTGTGTGTGTGTGTGTGTGTGTATATATATATATATTTTTTTTTTTTTTTTGAGGTGGAGTCTCGCTCTGTTGCCCAGGCTGGAGTGCAGTGGCCGGATCTTAGCTCACTGCAAGCTCTGCCTCCTGGATTCACGCCATTCTCCTGCCTCAGCCTCCCGAGTAGCTGGGACTACAGGCGCCCGCCACCACACCTGGCTAATTTTTTTTTTGTATTTTTTAGTTTCGATCTCCTGACCTCGTGATCCGCCCGTCTCGGCCTCCCAAAGTGCCGGGATTACAGGCTTGAGCCACCGCGCCTGGCCTAGAGTATATTACATTGGCTATATAGTATTCCATTTTATGAATATGCCATAATGTATGACCAGACTTCCTGTTTCCACAGCTTCACTGCTTGTGTCTTTTGTCAGTTACTTGTGTCATCTTACTTAGCAATGTGCTATGATCATTTAGGATGATTGTGCTTTTATCCGATACAAAATTAAATATTTTTAATTCAGTGGGCTTTTTCATGGAGCACTTAAAAAGCAGTCTTTAAATCACTTGAACCCAGGAGATGGAGATTGCAGTGAGCCAAGATTGAGCCACTGCACTCCAGTCTGGTGACAGAGCAAGACTCTGTCTAAATAAAAAAAATAAATAAAAAATAAACAGTCTCTAAATCACACGGGCAAAATTCTTCTAAGGCAAAACACATTTCTGTCCCTCACTCTCTCCCATCCTTTTCAACCTGAGGTCTCAGGATTCCTGTTAAAATGTATATTCAATGCTGTAAATATCTTTTTTAAAAGCTTTGAACATGTTAAAATCATACTAATGCTTCTGAATAATCATGGTCAATTGATCATGAGCATTTATTAAATTAAACGACAATAAAGGGATAAAAAGTTACAAGTCCAATAGAACCAGTAAAATGAAAGGAAAATTAACAGCAGAGAAGGAATTGAACAGATTTTTTTCCTTCTAGTTTTTAAAACATGGAAATCACATCAATAAGTAATAGTTAATGAGCTTAAGGGGGGAAGCAGCACCGTAGCTGTTAGAGAAAGATATTAATGAGAAAACAGTTGACTTCTTATGTGGAACTCTGGAAGTTAAGAAATAACCAGTGGTAGGGGCTGTTGTTCCCTTGTCTGCAGGATTCTTGTGTCTAGCCATGCATCCTCTTTGGGCAGAAAAGGAGATTTTATTCCCTGAGAACTGAAAAACCTGAGGAAAAATCTCCAGTACAGTATTTTGGATGTCCTTCTAGAGGAAAAAATCAGCTTTACCGTCACTCCCATGAAGTCCCTTCCTGCACGCCATCAGAGTCTGAACGCATTAGTGCTCTAGGTGAAGAATTAATGAATGACCAAAGAGTACAAGATTTCAGAGGAAAACTTTCTACCTAAAAGGGAAAAATTATGAATCTGCAAGAAGCTGAGACAATTCAGGGAATAAGAAAATCATCTAAAAAGATCTTTAAGGGATATTCTGAGTTGAATAAGTGAAAAATACTAATTTAGGTAACAAAATGAAGATGATGTAAAACAGATACATTCAGATAACAAAAAAGAGCTCTCAGAAATAGAGGAAAGAAAAAATAAATTTTATAAAGTAATTTAATGGTTGGATCATAAGGTCAAAGAAGTCGTTCAAAAAGTAATCCAAAAAGGCAGGAGAGAGTAAAACCAGAATAGAGATTTAGGAGGTTCAGAGTCTTATTAAATGGATTATAGACACAGATAACAGTAAAAACATAGAGAAGAAAGTTATAGAAATAATACAAGAAAAAATTTCCAGAACTGATGAAACTAAGTCTCAAAAAGACAACTCTGGCACAATGAAAGAAAAAAGCCAACTATTAAACCACATTATCATGAAATCTTAGTACCTTTGCAACAAAGTGAAGATCTTTAAGCTTTCAAAAGAGGGAAGAGGGTGTACATACAAAGGATCTGAATGGAACAAGATCTCATACCAAAAAAAAAAAAAAAAGGAACCAAGACACAACGGAACAATGGTTACAATATTCATGGTGAAAATGATTTTCAGTTATCCATCAGGGATAATAATAGACTAAAGATATTTTTTAAACAACTTAGAGAATTTATTTAGAAAGTAGAAAATAAAAAGTATGACTCTAGCATCTATTTAGAATATGAACAAAACTAGAAACAGTTAAACTACAGAAAAAAAGGCAGAGATCCTGAAGTTGGCTTAATGGCTATCCAGTACAAACAGGCAAAACCCAAGTTACTTTCATGCAAATAAGCATTAAGAAAAAGAATATGGGAATGTTTACAGAATGTGTCATGGCAAATATTTTTCAAATTTACATAAGAAACTGTACATAGCCGGGCGCGGTGGCTCAAGCCTGTAATCCCAGCACTTTGGGAGGCCGAGACGGGCGGATCACGAGGTCAGGAGATCGAGACCATCCAACCCCGTTTCTACTAAAAAATACAAAAAACTAGCCGGGGTGCGAGGTAGCGGGCAGCTACTTGGGAGGCTGAGGCAGGAGAATGGTGTGAACCCGGCAGGCGGAGCTTGCAGTGAGCTGAGATCAGGCCACTGCACTCCAGCCTGGGCAACAGAGCGAGACTCCGTCTCAAAAAAAAAAAAAAAGAAACTGTACATAAATGAGGCAATTTACAAGAATTAGGTAATTTACAAGAAATGTTTTACAGGTTACAGTAGGATATAACTTATTATGAATAAAATTTGTAGCACATCATACATTTTTACATCACAGATTCAGTGTTAAAAGAATTCAGACATGATAAAACTTAGACTTGACAAGAATAATGTAATAGAATAAGGCAACTGAGACTGAAATGACATGTGTAAGTCAAATTAATCCCCAAATTAAAGGATTCCTTAGATTGGGATATAATAACATCTTCAGAGTATGATTTGGTCAATAATGGCATTGAGCTAAATGCCATTCAATTTTAGTTAAAAGCTTAGTTTTTAGATGTAGTTTAAATAAAAAGAAAAGCACACAGTGTATAAAAAATAATAAAAACCACCTTAGTATCACTTATATCCTAATACTATTAATCATATTTGGGACAAGCAGACTAGAATATTGGTGATACTTCTATAAAGTTCTATTTCCAAATGTTGTAAACTAAACTAAAACAGGTTCCTCAGAAAAAAGTGGCCAATTCCAAAATGGCTTCATACCCATGACAACTATTGCCTGAGCTACGTATGACATTGATGAACTTCATTTGTAAGGTAAAGTTGAGATATTTTCCAGCATGAAAACTCAAAACGTGTAACTTTAGAGCACACTTTCTTGAAAAGTTACTGGAGAATACATTTCAGCAAAATATGAAATGAATTTAAAAATTGAAGGACATGAGATACTGGAGAGTAATGAAGGGGCATCGAAAGATGTTGATAAAGGGACATTCTCGGACCACTACAGTGAAGCAGAGTCAAAGAGAAACCCGTCCAGACTGAAGGCGTTCTAGGGGCTCTGGAAGAAAACATATAAAAGGAAAAAAGCAAACTGATTTTATTTATGTATAAAATATATTTTGTATATACAGTAGATTTTATGTATATATACATACACATATACACATATTACTCAACTGTGCCTTGAATAACACTTATCCAGACATAATAAAGACTAGCTTTTATTTAATATATTAACATTTATGTCAATATGTATGTCAAACATCATATATTGAACAATAATGTATAACATTTTGTTTAATATATTAACATCCGTTTATGTTAATTAGGAGTATGGAAGCAGATACGTAGGTGGGATGTGGGATAATGGTGGTAAAAGAGAGATAAATATACTATAAAACAAAGTTGACAGATAATTCCTAAAACTAAGAAGTTAAAAATAGCAGTATATATATGTTTTAAAAAATATGAAGCGGTCCCTGTACAGATGCCAAAATAAATACAGAAGTAAACATTGAAAGGAACAGCTAAGAGGGTTGGAAGTGGTTGGTCCTTGGGAGTGAGAATTGGTAGTGAAAAGGGATGGAGCGAGATTTGCCATTTTTCATTATAAATGAAAAATTATGTTTAGGAAAACATAAATTTTGTGCATGAATTACTTTGAAAAATTATTTAAAAATTTGGATCCTGGACTTATAATGTGTATGTTGTATTATCGGTATTAATTTCTGGCTAATTTCCAGGGAGAATAAATGAAATAAAATCAAAATCTTTTGATATATTTTAAATAGATTGTGTTCATTTAAATCAACATTGCTTTTACAATAGTAGAATTTTGAAAATATATTCCTGGTTTACAATATCATTTTTATGATTTTCAGAAAATCACATATCAAATCATAACACCAGCTTCATTCACGTTCTTTGATTTAAACTCTATTTAATAGTCAGTTTTAGAGTTTATTTCTGTAACATCTTTCGTGGTGTAGGCGTTTAGATTCTTACAATCCCCTGACTGTGATACGTAGTAACATTTAGCTTCAGATAGTATATGTGACTTAATCTTAGCAATCACCCAAAATTGTCTCATGGCAGGAAGAAAGAGTAGCTTATGTATTTGAAGTTATTGAATTACATAAAGTGTTATTTCTTTCTTAGATATGGAACAAAACAGGTGCAAAAAACTCATGTGTGGACATGATGTTGAAGCAGGTTATATTAACCTTTTCAACAAGACATTTGGGACAGGCAGTTAATCTATGAAGCCATCAAGTGGAAAAAAAATCACAATCCTTACTGCTTTATTGAAAAACTGTCTAAAATGATATGTATCTGTATATATTTGGGTGTTAAGAAGTAAGACCCCTTTTGAAAATTAAAATGGTAATATATTAACCTTACCTGTGAAAAGTGGCCCTAACGGATTTTTCCTACTTGATGGAGAGTGTTTTCTCTAATGTGTCTGCTGTGGTTAGACTAAATCCCTAAATTAAGTACTCAACTACAAGAGAACGTAGCAACTCTAGGACTCTGCAGAACTGACTGCTTATAACATTGTTCGTGAGAGTTGTTATTTGAAAACAATTATTGGAAACCTTAAATAGGTAGGGATTTGTATCCCATCAAATGAAAGTCTTGGTTTTTATGCTATTTATTCCTTATTTCAAGGTTTCTCTTGATCATCTGGACCTGAAAGTTCTGCCTCAAAATAGATGGAGCCTGTTCTGAACTGTTTTTTTTGTTTTTGTTTTTGTTTTCCTTAAAGATTGGTGCAGGCTATTATATCATGTTACAAAGATGAAGAAATATAATTAAACACTGGGAGAGGTGTACTCATTGTCACTGTAAAGACTGAAAAAATCTTTTTAATTGAGAGGGAAAACTACATTTCTTGAGAGAGAAAGAAAACATTTTGTGGGAATCAAAAAGAAAGTAAAAAAGGATTGCCATTCTAACTGGCGTGAGATGGTATCTCACTGTGGTTTTGATTTGCATTTCTCTAATGACCAGTGATGATGAGCTTTTTCTCATGTTTGTTGGCCACATAAATGTCTTTTGAGAAGTGTCTGTTCATAGCCTTTGACCACTTTTTGAAGGGGTTGTTTGTTTTTTCCTTATAAAGTTGTTTTAGTTCCTTATAGATTCTGGATATTAGACCTTTGTCAAAGGGATAAATTGCAAAACTTTTCTCCCTTTGGAAACAAAATATAAATAAATATGGTGTCTTAAAAAAAAAAAAGAAAAAGAAAGCAGTTAACAAAAATCTAGAGATTATCTGAAAGGCAGTTGGAGGACAACGCTGAAAATCCGAAAATGATGAGAACTGTTATGCAATTGCAAAGTCTAAATTAAAAATTGGTTAAAAAGTTAGGATTGACCTGTGGACTCTGGTCTTCATGTTTCTGTACCCAAAATACATGTAGTATTTCGTGCTCCTCTAATTTAATAAATGGTTCTACACATCAGAGTAATTTCATCAGTGAAAAAATAGAGGATTCATGTTGTTTTAAAAGGAGATGTTCAGGTTGAGCCAGAGAATGCTCTTAATGAATTTTTTCCTTCATGCACATTTTTTTTCCAGGTAAAGGGAAGATTCAGGACCTTTTTCCTGGTATCTAAAACCTGACTGTTGTTTCTGCCAATGGAATGTTGCTGTCTGCTCATTAACTGAGCTTAGGAGTTGGCTTGTTTAAGCTTCAGGGCATATGGAGCCCCCAGAATTCCCAGAGGAGCTGTTACAGTTTTATATTAGCAAACCTCAAAGCAAATGCAGAATGTGGCCTTCCTATGAATTGAGCAGTGGAGCATCTGGGGGCATAAATGGACAGTCATTAATTGGCAAGCTCAGTATTCAAATAAAATTGTTAATACTCTTTACCACATTTGGCTCAGGAATGAAGAGAGTTACAGTCAAATGATACCTAAGTGATTTCCTACAGTAACTGTTTTCTAAAATATTTTATAATAATAACGTGGCTACTTTTCAAAGATGATGATTGTTCTGTTCGAAAACATTTGGATGATCTCTAGTACAGAGTTGCGTGATGCTGAATCTATGCCTTTTCCATCCTGGGAAATAATTAAATAAGAAAGTCATGGCTGGAATGCAGTGAGATTCATGCCAGGCTTTTTTCCACTTCTTGAGAGCCTATAGAAAGTTTCTGGGTCTCAGTGGAACATCTGTATAGGAGACTGATAGTCTCTTATAATCTCTTTTGTCCAGTTCAAGGATCACCGAAAGAATTGAGAACTTTTAGGACTGTGGAGGTATGCCATTCAAACAGCATTCTCCTTCCCTTCCCTCTTCATTTCCTCCTTTTCACTCCTTGCTTGGCCTAGATTCCACCAATGTGAAGGAATGGAAATAAAGCAGTATAGGTCTGATTATGCAGAGGCCAAAAGGAGATTTCATATTTGAAATAAATTGGCAGGCTGGTCATGGCAGCTCATGACTGTAATCCCAGCACTTTTAGAGGCTGAGGTGGGCGGATCACTTGAGGTCAAGAGTTTGAGACCAGCCTGGCCAATGTGGTGAAATCCTGTCTCTACTAAAAATACAAAATTTAGCTGGACATCGTGGCATGCACCTGTAATCTCAGCTACTTGGGAGGCTGAGGCAGGAGAATTGCTTGAACCCAGGAGGTGGAGGTTGCAGTGGGCTGAAATTGCACCACTGCACTCCAGGCTGAGCAACAAAGTGAGACTCCATGTCAAAAAAGTAAATAAAATAAAATAAAATAAATTGGCATTCACACAGAAAGGCAAAAATCGTATGAGTGCTTAGCATCTGCACTGACTTTGCTAATCACCTGATATTCCCTATTATAGTGAAATAGCCTGGAATGCCCATATGACTGCAAACTCTTTCTAGCTGGTTCTGTCACTCATTGCCTCAAAATTTCTTTTTAAAATGTAACTTGCATTTTTTAACATTCCTCCCAGGTGAGTCTTACTTGACCAATACACCAGTTTAGAAAACATGGGCTTTAAAGGTACAACCTTAGTATTTTGGCATGTTGGAAATCAGGGAATATCAAAATATGCATTAACATGGTGACATGAGGAGCTTTATTCCATGATCCTGTTATTTTCTGAGAGTCTAGGTCATGGAATCAATTGAAGGCAGAGTTAAGAAGATGATGTAATATTGCATCTCATACATTTTTAGTGAAGGACTCATTTTCTTGCTCCAGGTTGCACCCAGATAACACTTCTTGGTATAGTGGAGTTCAAGTGGACAGAATGTTTTCTAAAACTCTGGCAGGAGAAAGTTGTTATATTCGTTTTATTTTATCTTGTGCTGTAAGGGATCATGGCTACCGGGAATAATTAGATCTTACTGTACTAACACCTTCCAAGTAGAGTATTT